GAGTAAGATGAGTGGTGTAAGATGAGTGGAGTAAGATGAGTGGAGTATGATGAGTGGTGTAAGATGAGTGGTGTAAGGCGGCGGCGGAGGCGGAGACGGCGGTTTCGGAGCAGCGGGTGCAGAGCGAAACACAAGAACCCCACATAGTGATGTGGGGAACAACATGTGCTTGACGCCCTGGCACTGGGTGGAGCTCATCATCTCGTTCCAGCCCTTGTTCTATCACGTCTTGTCACCATAACATTCTACTTTCGTCTCCCAGCGTCTGTTCTCAAGAAATTCCGTCTCAAGTTTGATGGCGTTGAAAGCTTTTGAACAGCCGGAACCCAATCCGCCTCGCTGAAGGTGCTGTGGCAGAATCATTTCGTGTCGTAGTATCGGCCCAGTGGCATGTGTAGTGCTTAGTTACTTAGAGTGTTACTTAGCTTAGCTACGGGCGGGGGTCGATAGTCCGCGACCCGGACAAAGTTCATAAAACACAAAGCCATGAGAGTTGAAGTTTTTCAAAAGTGAATAAAACTATATAAACCGATTAAAATAGACTACGTTGGACGTTTCGGAGCAACATCTTCCGAACATGGCCCCACTTCGCCAAAGATGAACCCATGTTCCAAAGATGTTGCTCTGAATGCAGGGGCATCGATTGTTCCCCCATGTTGAGTCCGTTAGCGCCAACTTGATCGATTGAACCTGTTGGGCCTACAAAGTACTGAATCAATCCGACACACCATGCTTCTATTCTTGTGTGGGCAGGAGTCGTCGCGGGGCACGCCACAACTTTCTACCAGAATCTGAAGCTACCGCAAGTAACTTGAACTACAAATAGAGTTGCCGGGCTTCCCACTTGATCCTGGCTTGTACTGATAAATTGAGGCTGCTGCTTGTCTCTTCTGTCCTTTTGCAAATGCTCCAAGGATTTTTTGACCTTTTGTTACCTTTGTCAGGCTCTCCGGCATGTTGCAAAGCTCGAGCTGTCAAAACTCTGTTCACTGCTCAACAAACAGGCAAGGATGAAACTGTAGGACGCATCAAAAAAAATCCCTTACCCTGCCACGAGCTGTCCGCTTGAACATTCAATGGGATAAAAGAAACAAATGGCTGAATGGTCTTACTAGCGGCGTGAACAAAACATGGTTCCATATATGGTTCCGCCACGTATAACGCAGTGACGACTTGGTTGGTGGGAATGTCTTCTGTTCTTTGCTTTTTGTCGCCTGCTAAAAAGGCCTACAGAGATAGTCACCAATAAACTCTGCCAGTCAGAATTGGATGAATGTGGACTATGGACCTGGACACACGTGCGTTTTGGGAGGCCTGCCAAGCATTTGTGCAACATTGCGTGCAACGCTCACCTGATCTTTTCGACGCTTTGAGCAAAGGCCAGTGGTTTTGGCCGTGGCCCCAATTTAAAGTTTTGGGGCCTCATGGCCTTATGAACCTTCGAAGCAAAAGTTGGAAGCCGCAGCCATTGGAACATAGCTGACGAGAAAGCCTGGGCTGAACAAAGGTGTGCAAAGACAGCCTACAAACACTTTGAGGCAAGGCTGCGGAGGAATTCAAATGTTGAGCTGGCTAGTGCCAATCGCACGATGCTCTGTTGAAACCACAACCGCCAATCTTTCTATGGCGCCGGCGTGACACCCTATGCAGCTGATGTTTTGATATTCTATTTCGCAGTATGTACTCTCTCACAACAGGGGAAGTGCCAGGTGCCAAGTAAGATGGACAGCAAGGATGGAAGCGTGAGCTGCGCACAAACAGGCAAATCTCACACGTTTGCTGCACAGAAGCGAACTCATTTGATAGGTCTTAGGTCTCCTTCAACAGCTTCAATATTGATTCAATGGAGCTTTCACGTTGTGCTCTCCCTTCACATGCGGAAAACGCCATAAGCACCCGTTGACCCATAGCCCGGGGACCGGCTGCACACTCGAAGGCAGCGACCCAATACATGGCGGGTGTCGCGAGGATCCTTGGAAAGTCTCACGACGCTAAGCCGCATTTCTTGGAACCAACGGTTGACATCAAGCACACAACACAACATAACAAAACACCATGCTTTCAAAAAAGCGAGGCTTTTTCTCCATACTTGTTGCATCTTCTTGCTCAAAGGGATTTTACTTGGCTCGACGCAATTATACCATCGTCCCACAGTCGTGAAGTCGAGTGGTAAGCGCTGCCTGTAAGAAACGTTTGCGAAACACAACCACACCACAACAGTCTCCACAGTCAAGAGTGGCCAACCTTCTGCTTCATACTTCTCCAAGGTCGGCTTCTTGAAATCGCTCAGCTCCTTTTCTGTCATCGCTGCTTTGCCCTGCCGCTTGAGCTGGTCCTGAACCCATCAGCAATTCTGCCACCTCTAGGTCCAGAATTCCTGTTCCAAATGAACACACGCTGGCACTTCCTGCTTGACAGTTGCCAGCACATCTGCAGCTTGAGCACCCCCCCATCACACTGATTCCTCAGCAAGCGCGTGTACCAAACCTAAGCATGAACACCAGCCAGGGAAACTGGAAGATTTGTATGGGGACCCCACTGGTAGCTGAGCCAAGCTTCGTGAATTGGGCCAAATGAACATGAAGCGGGGGTCATAGGCACGCCCACACATGCCGTAGTTTCCAGCACCATGGCTGCCAGCGATTATAACCGTGATCTTTGGTACCTCAGTCATGAACCCTTCCTTTTCAACATGTCCAACGTGAGACTGCCGACTTGAGCACTCTTTGACTTGCAATCAACTCGTCACACGACCTTGTGCAGTGAATCACACGCAATTTGCTTCTCACACCTCCACCGGTAACCTTGGCCTTGCCCATGTTGTGCTTGCCGGCAAGCAACATCAACGCAAGACACCGCATTGACCATCTTAGCGCCATCGCGGGCAATGCCACTGTTCTCGTACGCCTCCGGCGGCGGAAAATGAAAAAACATACCAAATTTATCCAATTATTTTACTCAGTATGGTCGATTATTCAAGTGTGCATCTACACTGACAGTCTGCAGTCTGTGTGTGTATATATATAAAATATGTATATATATGTATATATATGAAAACGTCACAGCGAACGTTGGACACGCTGTTTTCCTCCAAACGAACTTGAGCCTACAGGGTCATAGGCATGCCCAGTGTCTGGTTTACACCCTGCCTTTTTCGAGGGTGTCTTTGTCAAAAGCGCCTTCGAAACCTAATCAGCATTCACCTTCATGATGATGTAGACTTCGACCCCCACATCGTTCTCGATCTGTTCAAGACTGTAGGCTTGATAGGCATCATCAACCAAGTTCTCATACTCGGCTTCGTTCTCAATGTGTCCTTCCAGACTTCCATAGTCTGTGGTCAGGCTGTTTTCTGACTCCTCATCTTCCCTTTCTCTCCTCTCTTCTTCTGTCTCGACTCTCACCAATCTCAGATGCACCTCTGTCTCATGGATGTAGCCATCATTGTCGATGTATGTGCTTCTCCTTACCTCTGCATCATGCTCTGCTGCTTCTTCTCCTTTCTCTTCTCTCCATTGCGGGCCGACAATGTGTCTCTGAAACTTAATCCAGAATCGCCTGCCCACTAAACCCATTGTCGAGGTTCAGCTTCTTCATCTGTCTCATCATACTCATGTCGACGTTGGTGACCTGACGGCCAATTTGACCACTTTTGCCACTCTGCATTCTGTTGGTGTTGCCATCTTCTTGGAGCGTTCCACAAACACACGCGCAAACCTCTGAAGTGTAGTTCTCATCTTCTCCAACCACACTTCGAAGCGTATCCCAGGAAGGTACATGTCTCCTCAAGTCTCTTGCTGTGTTCTTCAAAGCCTTCAGCGAAATCAGGATGACAACGCTCAAAAGCACAATGGCTATTGTCAACCCCATCACGACTTACTCCAATGTCTCACTTCCTGTCGCCTTTCTCCTAAGCAATCCTCCTGGCTGCACGGGCGGCTCATCTTCTGGGAAACATAGCTCACTGTAGTTCTCCGCAGCCAGGCTCAAGGCTGAATCCGCAAGCGTTGCCATCATAGTGAGTCTCAACAGCCACTTTGAAAGTTGGTTTGCCTGGTTGACTTTTCTGGCGAACCTTCTTCCACAAACACCAGACCATCCTCCTGACTTCCTGGAGTCTCTTCTTCTCATCTTGCTTCATTCTCTCGGCCTCAAAGTCCTCCTTGCCCAATTCTTCAGAGTCATCTGTGAACCCCATCAGGAACAGCAACATGTTCACTTTCTTTCCTCTACGTGCTTTTGTTCCAATGTCTGCAGGGTTCGTCATAGCGTCAAGCTTTCTGAAGTCCAAGTCTCGGCCTTGTCTCTGTTGGAGCCACAGCAACCTTCCGCTCAAACGCTTAGCTCCCTCTGAAGCGCCTGACACCAAACCAACATATCCGGCTTCTGTGCTGGACGGGCTGATGTTTTTCTGGGTCCTGGCATAGGAATGGATCCGGTCGCCTCCAAGGAAAATACATCCTGCTGATGTTGAACTCCTTGTCAACTTGTCTGAATCGCATGTCACCTCCAAAAGGCATGCTCCTTCTGCCTCCTCAAAACACGGGAGCACTGGTGAGTCCTCTCGCACGGTTCCTGAACGAGTTGTTCTTGCTCTGACTTCTCATCACCAAATGCACCTCCATGGTCGTGGCCAAATAGCCAACCAACTTCCACCCTCTGTAGGGCTTTGGAGCCTCCCGGCCAGCTCTTTCACAGAACTGAATTTGTGGACGGTCACCTGCCATGCAAAATTCCATCTGCTGACCGGTACATTGGCCTCCTCCAATCATCGTCTTTCCAGCTTCCGCTCCTGGCGTCTTCGACTTCTTGACCGGACTCATCATCTTCACAAGACTGTGGATGTACTCCTCATTCACCATCATCTTGGTTTCTGAGGAATCCACCATCAAAGTCCTCTTCGAGAAGCTCAGTGCATTGCCGTCCTCCACTGACACCTTGTACCTCTTCATCAAGTGGTCTGTCACTCTAGCCGCTTCTTTGTCTTCTCGTCGGCGCTTCTGCGCGTGGTGTGAGCCCTGCCTCACTCGGGCTCCTCCTCGACTCTTGGTACCAAACGTAGCAGCGAATGCCCTGCCGGCGCAAAGACGTCAGTCCTGTTGGGATCGCACCTGTTCTCTCGCCACCTCCAACCCATCACCAATTTGGGGCGAGCAGCGGGATGTCTTCCATGTCTTCGTCTTTTCCTGGCGGCATCAAGACTGGCGCGCGCCAATCAGCCTCTGAATATCTTCCTTGTGGCCTCGTCCTCGACCTCTGCAAGCTCAGCCTCTGTAAGCCCTGGTGCTTGATCTGGAAACTGCAAGCTCTCATCTCCATCTGGCAACAACTCTCCAGCTACCGCCGTACAAATCGTCTAAGCTGATGCTGCCTCTGGTTCACCCTTCTCTGAACTTGTTGGTCTTGTTCTCTGCATTTTCTTTGGCGCTGATCTCAACGTCACCTTCTCCTCCAAAACGGACTATCCATTGCACTTCACCTTGGGCTTGCTGGCGCCTTGGCAACCTCACTTTCAGCAGTGGGTTCCTGCAAGCTATCAAGCAGGTCCTGCAGCAACGTGTCATCGGTGATTTCTAGACTTCCTTCTTCTTTGTCCTCATCTGGTTGTGTTGGCGTGTGACGCTGCTTTCCTCAACTGCCCCTGCCTTTCTCTTGTCTCCTCCAGCTTCATCTCCTCTAAGCCTCGCCTCATCTTCCTTCTTCTTCAACTTCTCCTCTCTTGCCATCTTCTTCTCCTCAGCTCTGATCTCTGGGGCGAGTGCTGGCGGCAGTGGGACTGTTGGAAACTTACCCGCCGGTGACGATGCTTTGGCACCAATCTGACCAAACCCAATGTTCCACGGCCAGAACTTCACTTAGGTCACGGCTTCTGGATCAAAAGGTGTCGGCGCCTCCTGATGGTTCTCGCCGTGGCCACCATGTGGAAGTCAGCTCGGTGAGTCTTTCCAAACCACAAACCAGGTTCAACTCGTCACTTCCATGGTCCTTCTCCTTGTCGCCTGAAGTGCGGAAACACAGGCGAAGATGGTTTGATGTGCATCTGGCAACCTTCCTTCACCCCGTGCAAGGTCCTTGCCATGCCTCTTACCGTCTGAATTTCTCGCTCCACACGGCCATTTGCCTGTGAATCTGCTAGGCCACTGATGTCGATGTTTGTGTAAAAGCCCAACCTCAGCCTTGCTTGTTGCAACACTTCCACCAGCATTCTCATTGAAGGTTCTCCATCTCCTTTGAAGATCACTCGTGAATACCCCAAGCTCCCAATGAATTTCATCACCTGCTCAGAAGCGGGCCCTGCCTTTCCGTGGTGTTGGCACTCACAAAACAGCATGTGACCAATTCCTCCTCTCAGGTCACCCTGGTAGATGCGCAGGTCCTCCTTCACCTCAACGCCCACCTCATCGTCTCCTCGGCTGAGACAGAAGTCCATTGAGATCACCGGCGTGTCTGCCTTTGCTTCTTGCCGTGCTGCATGCTTCTCACTTAAGTGATAGTCAACACGACCTCTACCAGCAATGCAGTGTTGGCACCGCGGCTGATATGGGTAGCGCGTCAGCTCGTGCGCCTGCCTCTCAGCCTTCGATGGCATTCTTGGAACTGCTTGCCCCCCTGGCCTCTTCTCCTTCATCGGCCTTCATCCTCTGGAACTCTTTGCGGGGCAACTCAATGCTCAGGTTCTCAGCAAAATGCTGATAGTGGTGAACCAACATCTTCCAAGGGCTCAGCTTTGTTCTTCCCTTGGCCTAGTCCACATTTCTTCAGGGCTTTCCTCAAGCCTCTCAGAGATCAAGTCTCCCTACTTCACTGATCTCAGGATCAAGTGGAGCCTTCTGACGGCCAACGGGGTCACCATGACCCAATGCCTTCTGTTCACCCATCTCCTCTTCTTCATCTTCATCCTCATAGACTCTGTCCTCAAAACTCTTTCCAAACCATCCTTCAACCACTTCAGCACTTCCTTCTTTCTTCTTCTTCTCCTCCAGGTCAAATTTCTTGTAGATGTCAGGCCTCAAGAACGGTGAGTCGTCGCCCGGGCTGATCACTCCCAGGGCCATGAAGTCATCCACTGTCTGATGGAAGAAGCTCACAGTCTTCAGCTCCTCCCCTTCACACTCCTCAATTTCATCTTCATCCTGCTTCTGTTCGGCCATTTCAACAGTTCCCAAAGTCCGTTCTTCAAGATGACAGTTGACCTGTAAGGAAAATCAACTCTGTTGAGCTGAGGGAATGAGTCCTTGTAGAACTTGGTGCTCGAAGTGACCAAGAATGGGACACGTCTGTCGGCATTCAGGTGCCAAAAAGGACTTCATCAACCCTTGAAACTCCATGGTACCTTGTTCTCTTCCTCCGCAGGTTGGCCTTCACCTATGTCTTCACCAACCTTTCGAATTCTGGCTTCCACTGTCAGTGAATTGTGTGTCTGAACTGTAGGCTTTTGCTGAACAATCCACGTGTCAACCTCACAGCTCCTCCTTCTCCCTCAATCTTCCAACCTCGTCTCAGCAGCTTGCTCAATGCCAGAACTTATTCTTTCGTTGAATTCCCGGGGTTCCTTGAGCTTTCCTGCTGTGGTGGGTTTAGGAGGCACTCGTTCCGAACATGATGGATGTTGATAGTCATGTGATCTTTCCACAAGTTCTGGCGCTATTCCTGATCTTTCTAAACGCTCAGCTAGCTTCTTCGAAGTCGGATGCCGAGACTATTGTGCATGCGTCGAATGATACTTTTCTGGTGTTCACTAAGTTCTTGAATCTTGAAACTTGGGTCCCGAATTGATCCACATCTTTTGGAGTCCATGAGGGAACGGGAACTGGAATCTTATCCTGTTCCGTCGGCACCATGCGTTCCTCTTCTGCCAAAGGACTTGAAATCGACTCAGGCTGCATCTTTGGTTTGACTGGTTCGAT